CTCACCTCAGCCTCCCAAAGGCACGGGATTACAGGCTGAGCCACCGAGCCCGGCTCCTATGGTGCTTCTTCTTTAAGCACATTCTTTTATCTGTGGCTTAGTATCTTCTATTATTTTTAGAAAATTTAAATATTTCTTCTGCCCCATTCTTTCTCCTGCTGAGATTCCAACTGCAAATATGCCACAGCATTTGATATTGTTCCACAGTTCTTGGATGCTCTGTTCTGGGTGGTTGGCTTGTCTTTTCACTATTTTCTGTTTGTGTTTCAGTTTGTGTATATTTTCTATTGACCTATCTTCAAGTTCATTGGCTTTTTTCCCTTGGCTATGTCAAATCAGCTGATGTCCCCTTTGAAGGCATTCTTCACCTCTGTTTTTTATTACTAGCATTTTCACTGACTCTGCTTCCTTCTCTGCTGAAATCCCCCATCTGTTTACATATTTTCACTAGAGGGTTTAACATATTACTCATGTTTATTTTAAAATCCCTGTCTGATAGTTCTAACATTTGGGTCATATCTGATTCTGTTTTTTGATCCTTGACAGTGGGACTTCGTTTTTTATTTCTTAGCTTTCCTTTATGCTTCTATTTTGGTTGAAAGTTGGACCCTTGGTTTGTAAGATAGTGGAAGTACGTAGTACTTAGGGCAGAAAACAAGCATGTCTGAGTTTCTGCTGGGCCTTTAGTATGGGGTATTGAATCAATCTAGTCAGTAGTTGAGATGGTCTCAGGACATAGCTGGCTTCAAACTTCTCTAGCATTACCTGTACTTAAGGTGAGGATTCACTTACCCAGAGGGTTTTTCTGTGTCTGCTCCAAAGCTGTAGGTTGCAGCTACTCTTTACTCATCACCTGCTGGCATGGGGTATTGGGTTCTCTGTTGCCTTGATCCAGGAGTCCTAGGCAGGCCCCACAGTTTCCTGCCCCTTCCCCTGGGGAGGGGGGTCCCTTTTCTCTACCCCCAGCTGCAATAGGTTTCACCCATGCCCGTAGGGTGACAGGATTTGCTGCCCATTCCCCCAGTAGTTTAAGGTTTTTGTACCACCAAGGTGAAGGAAGTGGTAACCACCTCCTCCTCTAGGTCTGCACCACCAGGAAGGCTTTCTGGTCTCCTGCTCCTGCCCCCAGTCTTTGAACACTGAAGAGCCCAAAGTGGGTGCAAACTCTCCTGTTGGTATGGCTACCAGAAGCTCCGTACCCTCACACTTGTCCACACTTGGTATACAGTGTTTCATTAAACGTTCAGCTGAATTCTTATCTGCTTGTATGGAACCCCTTTCTCATGCTCATCACTGGGTCTTGGAAGACTTTCTTTAGATTTTGACTAACTTGTCACCCTGTGACTTCAGTCATCTGATGGAGTTAAGCAAGACCCTGTCTAAAAAAAATTTTTTTTAAACGCCCATTTGGGGGTGTGTGTGACTCTAAGCCAGCTTCGTATCAGTACACTAGGGCTATGGAGGCCCTTGCCGAGGATACTGGGAGCACAGATTATCCAGCTCTTTGCCTATGAAATTTCTACTCATCTTTCAAAGTTCTAGGCCAGGCACGGAGGCTCATGCCTGTAATCCCAACACTTTGGGAGGCCACAGCGGGAGAGTCACTTGAGCCCAGGTTCAAGACAAGCCTGGGCAACACAGCGAGACCTCATCTACAAAATTTTTTTTTAAGATTAAAAATAAAAGTCCGTATCAAATACATCCTGATCAGCTGGCCCCTGGCTCCCAGTAGTTGTCATCTTTCTCCAGCACCTAAGAGTGTGGTTTATATACGTCAAGCAGTATGAGCTTCAGAGCTGAGCAATCCAGATGCAACTCTCAGAAGCACGGGTTACAAATGACTTTAAAAAATCATTAAAATCCTGGCTTAGTGCAGTGGCTCACACCTGTAATCCGCAGCCTTGTCGGCAGATCAACAGATGCCGGGGACGACCGGCGGCGGCGGACACCCGCGAGCCTGTACACGCGCCCTCCCCTCCACGCAGCCCCGCTCTCCTGCCAGCCGCTTCTGCAGGGACCCTGCCGCCCCACGAGGTCAAGAGGGCTCCGCATTGGGAAGCCGAATTCCTGGGGCTCAGGTGCCGCCATCGGCGGCGCGTGGCCTTTCCCGCGTCCTCCGTCCAGTCCCCAACACTGCGACCGGCCGCGCCGACCGCTGACGCTCAGAACGGCAGGGGATCCGGAGTCTGCCCCGAGGCTGAGCTCGGCGAGAAGGAAGCGCCGCGCGGGAGCGCGGGGACCACCCACAGCGCGCTCGTACCCGCCAGGCGGCCGCCGCCGCGCCCACTCACCGGCGTCCGCCGTCGCACGGTTCCGCGTCCCACGGCGCGTGCGCGGCCCCGCCCCTCGA